ATATAGTAGAATTAAAAGGGCAGACTTGGGGTGTCTCAAGCCTTTAAGGGCAAATGTCATTTTGTTTGGTCAATATTTTCAGGACATCATACATCCCTCGCTGAGTCGCGCTGTCCAAAATGTTGCAAACTATTTCCGATCTTCTGTCAACAGGCCGCATCGACTGGTTCCAATTAAAATGTGAGGAAGGAAATGTGTAGGTCAAAACAGAGCCGCTATATGGCCACAAAGAAACCGTTCATAATGTAATAAATTATAGCAAAGTTTTTTTTCTTCACCTCCTGTTTCTGTATCTCCTGAGCTAACTGGAGCTCTTGAATTTAACGACGACCTTCTTCTCCTTTACGCGCCTGTTCTGAAACCAGATTGTCACTTGTCTCTCTGTCAGGTTAGTCTGCGCGGATATCCTCCTCCTTTTGTCCTTGGTGATGAATTTATTGGCGGCGTACTCCCTTTCCAGTTCTTTAAGCTGCACCTTGGTGTAAGGCACACGCTTCTTTCTCCCACGGCGGCCAGAGCTGTCTCCACCAGATATGTTGTCTGTGGAGAGGGAAATTATGTGTCACATTTTAATCAGCTTCTCTGCATCATAAAGTAAACGAAATATTTTTGTTCTTCTTTTATTTTTCTAACGTCAGGTGCTTTAATACATATAAGCAGTGGAATAACACAGATATATATGCAAGACAAACACGCACACCTTTTTCTAGCAAGTTTAACTGAACATCCCCATGAAAATTACCCATTTCTGTGGTATAGCAAAACAGTAAAAAAATACCTTGTAATGAAGATTTCCAAAGAGCATTTGACTGTGGCTGCTCTTTGCTGCAATAAACCTGACCACTCCAACCATTGGTGATGGCCCAGGGCTGGTAGGGCTCCATGGGCAGCAGAGACTCATGTCTTGGCTCAGATGGAGCACTCAGCGCTGGTACGACAGGGACGTCCAAGTAGCTGGGCTGGTAAGGACCCGAGGAATAGCCCTGGTAAAACGCAAATTCCTTTGCCCTGCTGGAGAACTCCTCACCAGAGACAGCTGAGTCCATGTATTTATCGCCATAACCAGAGGGCTGCGCGCAAGGCTTCACGCCGCCGTGTGACATCCTACATGGGTAATAACTGCTGCCAAAATATCCATAAGGCAAAGATGCATTGGGCGAGCTCTGAGTGGCAGAACAAGGGCTGCATTGTTTGCCAGGCTCCCCCATGCCAGAGACTGGCACCTCACTCGCAGCGTAAGTGGTGCTCGGAGCCAGCGAGGTTGGATGCGCTAACAAATTCCTGCACTGGTTTGCAGCAAAATTGCCCCCAGTAAATCCCTCCATATTCTTGCTTCTCTCATCCAAGCCGTTGTCGTAGAGAAACATCACCGGGTCAATCCAGTGCGAATGGAGGAGTAATGAAGCGGTCATAGCATGCCCTACATCGAGACGACCAACTCTTTTTCAAAATCCCCTCGACTGAGCAGAGACAGGGACTCAGGCAGAGTAACGATACCAACACGCCTGAGTACATAAAGATCGCAAGGTTATTGGCCAGGGCCAAACACGTGATATGCAAAGGAGATGATAAACGTCTAGACATCAGATAATGCAGATCGAGTTGTAGATTTATAAAGAAGTATACGTACATCAGTTAATGCAACAAAAAAGCCCTTAGGGTATTTTATCCCCGAATATCAATATATTAGAATTTGAAACTGAATGTAACTGATGTAAATACTAAGTTGTCTCCCGTGTAGTGCAATCACAATGCGCTTATTGGATGATTTGAGTGATACATGGCGTCAAAAAAACTTCTCAAAATAAGCACATCTTCTTATTGAATTCACGCGTAATTACGCATGCCATTTTGGTTGCATTACGCCTTACTCTGGTGTAAAGCAAACACTATTCCGGATGAGAGGATTTCACATTATTTCGTTTTATAGAAAGGTTAGAGTACCTTCTGTTAAAAGGTGCATACTTTTATAAAATGCACCGTCATGTTCCTAAATTATCTGGCTTTGAAACAGTGATAACGCATGCGAATTTAAAAGAAAGGAAACAACCACCATTTTTTCTGGATGTATTTAAAAAGGGAATATCATAACACTATTAATAAATCAAACAATCCTCGCATTTGGCATGGCCACGTGTTAATGTATATTCCAGAAGTGTGTCCACTAAAATACAAAAAGCATGCCACATTTGGCTGCACTCTCCTCGTACGGGTTAGACGGGGCTGGAGGCCAAGGTCAAGTTGAAAGTTGCAGTCTGGCCAAAACACTTGAGGCCAGGAAGCCCAAAGAGAAAACACGCTAAAGACTAGAGGTTTCATCTACAGACTGTGAGCTCCTTTCTAAGACAGATCAACTGGGTCCCTTTCTTTAATGCCATCAGACGGTTGTCATAACACAAATGTATTGACACTAAATGGTCACAATTAAAGCCTGATGATTTCTTTTATAAATAAACAAGGTAAAACATATCTTAAATGAAGAATAACCCGCGCTTCAACGTCTACACATATGCGTAAAAAGCCTCCATGGGCTATTTTTTTCCTACGAAGGACGCAGAGCTAAACACTGGCTTTCATTGGTCCATGAACATATCCAGCATGAATTTTTAGTTCAAGAATTTCAAAAATTATGTTTGCAGTTCAGATTTACATGGCACTGAAACATTGAGCTGTGTGGGTTCTGAGATAGACTCTATCATTGATGTCAAAATAAAAACAATTTCACCTTCAGAGTTTATTTTTGTTTTACATTTCTATGGGACCACAAACGCAGAGAAATCTATGCCCACCAACATTTGAGCACCTTTTTTAAAAATTGTAATAGTTTTCCCACCTTTTGGGGCTGTAAATCTTTATGGCCCATGTTCATAGCTTGTAGGCAAGACTGAGCAGTGGACTGCATGTGAGGCTAAATCATGATGTTTAGCTTGCTATAGAGGTTTATGTTTAAATGCTTTGTTATAGTATGAAATTCTAAATATTAGTTTACTTCTAAATATGAATGTATTTAAATGAGAAATTGCCTATTTTGTTTAAGTTTGTCTGTAGAGAAAGTGAGCTTTGTCTGGACAGGAATCATCTCAGCCACGTTGTTCACACATTAGAGGGCGGCTGTCTGACTCAACATATAGCAGCAGATGGTAGGAACTTATGAGCCAGTTAAACGAAAAAGAAGATCCATGTCTAAATTGCAAATGGATCGCGAGTTGTTGATAAAGAAGCATTTCAAATAATTTCATTTAAATATGCCGTCAACACACACACTCTACCCCCTCTTCAACATACAAAAAATAAATCTGAATCTTGGACACATATCTAAATGAAAACTGCCATATAAAAAATAAAGATATTTATGTGTTAGATTACCAAAAAAAGAATATTATAATCAAGATGGTATTATTAAAGACGGTGGCTAAATACGAACCATCATACGCACATTGCCTCCAAGTTATATACATCTTGAAACAAATGTACATCTAAAAATACTTGAAATAATATCCAATATAACTGTTCGACCCCCTTGAATGTCAAATACATAAACACAAGTTAATTATTCTATATGACGGCTAAACAAACCGAGCTTAATACAAATAACTATGCAATGTTTGTTGCTTATTGTATGTTGACAAAGGCTGCACAGTTTCCATTAGTCAACAGTTTTATAAAACGGAATATTTAAATTTATTTTTGCAATATCGCACACACCCAGTAGGCTTTATAGCCCCACGGATTTTCCAATAGTCTACATTTAACTTCGAATGGAAAATGTGAATGAAAAAACGCTGCTTCGTTGCAGACGCGAATATGAATTAAGGACAAGCTAGTACAAAAAGTAATCGGCGGTAAGACACAACACCCGTATTTTGTCTAGTGTTTACTTTTCGACTGAATGCATGCATCCTTTTCCTGATGTATGTTGGCGACTGTAGTGTAAAACGCCATGCTATCACAGGCACCAAAATGCACATAGTCCAAATCTGTCAATCAAATGTGTAGAAACACACATTGACTAAATGCAACGCTTATTTGCGTTAAAGAGGCTATACGCTAATCACGAGGAATGACGCGCGCACAGCAGCAGATGATGTCAGGCTGTGTGTGTGTGTCACAGTCTGCTGGAGGCCCGAGACGAATGTGTGCTGTTTGCTGTACCTATCAAGCAGATGACAACACAGCTCTTAACATACAGTGCTTAATGGACTTTTTATGGGTTTGTCTTGTGATCGCATGACCTATGGCACCTTGGCCCCTCAGTGGCTCTTGGCGAACTAGATCAGAAACATGCCGCGCTCCTGGTCTGGTCTAAGTGGGGATAGAAATGCGGTCCACATCCCAAAATCACTCATGCTGGCTGCATCGTGCAACACTCGGTCACGACTTATTTTCAAAGCTTTGGAATCCTGTCTATTCAAATCTTCATTTGAGAGATGTGTGTGCTGGATAATTAAATACGAAGTTCAAAATTGGTTGCTTCCTTTTAGTGTGGAACAATACTCACAGTTTTGGCAGCGTGTTTTTCGGCCCAGCGATACGCATCCCGCCGCTGCATCTGCCCGCAGCCAACCGCTGTTCGCCTTTTGTCATGACTACTGAATCCGTGGGACACTACTCAAACCAGAATATTTGGGAGCTTTAAACTCACTTATGCTCAGAGAAACTGAGGAAACACTGAAGTGCATGATCTCAAAGAAAACATTCAGAATTTAGATGGCCATGCCATTGGTCAGAATTAGTAGGCTATCCTTCTTCCTCTGTGTCTGAGGTTTAGCTGCATTTGCATGCAAGTTTATGGACTGGATATATTCAGTCATTGAAGCCGTGTTCATGAAAATCTACTCCCTTTGCAGTTCAAACAAAACTACAATGTATGGCATTTCTACAACAAATCAGCAATTACTGAAAAAATGTGCTGCTTCCAGGTGTTATACAATAATCTGCTAATATTTCACTTCAATTTAACATCCAATCCAGCAATCATAACATGAATGACATTTAAAAGGTTAAGACATCACAATTTGCCTTTATTTTCTAAAAGGATATAATATAACACTCTTACCCCAAAGTATAATTTCCAATGTCAAGAGCAGAAACACCCCAAAAAAACAAAAACCTCAACATGAAGAAATGATCACGAACAATTGTTAAATACAAGACGACTAAACCGGGATGCAGAAGTTTAACGTTGACAGAGCTATGAGTTTTTATTCGTCACACTCAGGTTCCCAGGGGAGTCTGTGCATTAAGAGAAAGATCTGCAGAGCTGCCGCTGCTCGACAGTCTGCTATGTTTTGGGTCCTCTGTATAAATGACAGTTGACTTGCTTCTAAAACTGAAACGAGTGTAGTATATTAGAAAAAAAAATAGATCACATAGGAAACATGATTTTCAAGAGGAGAGAAGTTATCACATGATCTGCTGTGTTGGAGCTCTCTTTGCTTCATTTCTCTCACAACTTTGAACGAGAAAGTCCTCGGGGCGAAATGCACCCTCACTACGCTATGTTAGTCCTGTGCAGGGCCAGGCCGGACGGACGGGGGGGGGACGGGGGGGAGGCTGACATTACTGGCCCTGGCCCTGGCCCTCCTCCTCCTCCTCCTCACGCAGGAACTGGAATACAGAGGAAAAATCTTTATTGGCATAACCACGTGCGCACATCATACGATACATCTGATGGGCTAAGGAGCCGAGAGGAACAGGCGTCTTCGTGTTGGTGGCTGTGTTCTGTGCAAGGCCTAGATCCTGAGAAAGAAAAGAAAACATACATTAGAAGAACCAACGGAGCTGAAAATTAAACTCTAAACCCAAAACCACAGTCCATACACCACAGAGAATATTTCTCTATGTTGTGATAAAATGGGCTTGATTCACTTTTAGGAGGGCTGTGAGCAGTTCACTGCTTTATTTCAAGTGGTTTGACCTAGGAGAGCTTTGTTTTTTTAACAGCCTCCCTTAAATCCCTGTCACATGCACGGCATATGGCACAGAAATTACTTCCTGACAGACTTATTCTAACCCGGTTTCATTCATAGAGAGTCATGAATGAGAAAAATGTTTGTTTTACAAATTATGAATGCATTTGTGTATATTTTTGTTCTGAAATTATAAGGGCTTATAGAGATAAACAGTTTCTCTATACAAATTAAAAATAGCTATACACTTATTAAGGCATACATATAATGTATTGCTTGATATTTGTGATGTAAAAACCTTAAGATGAAATGTCAAGGTAACACTAATCTTAAATGTATTTGCAGTGTCAGGAAAGTAGCGCAGTATAGTGCGATGTGTCGTTAAACTGACCTTAGCCATCAGCTGGGTGCCGAAGCCTCCCTGGTAGTTATTCCCAGACGGAACCCCCTCCATGACTCCAGGCACGGGGTTATAGGTGTCACTGGACCAGCAACGCCCTGAACTCATGTTCAGGATCTTAGCCAACAGTTTAGGATCAAGCCCAAGTCTGTGAGGGAAGGCAAATTCCATGTTACTAGCACACAGTTGGTTGCTTCTGCATGTACAGCAATGATTTAAAATTAGGGCTGTCAAACGATTACATTTTTTTAATCAGATTAATCACAGCTTAAAAATTAATTAATCATGATTAATCACCATTCGAACTATGTCCAAAATATGCCATTTCTTTATGTACATTGTTGTGGGAATGGAAAGATAAATGAAAGATGGCGGATATATCCATTTAACATACAGTATGTATGTTTATTATAACATTTTTCTGTGTGTCAAAATGAAAGACAGCCCACACACCTATCAATCACCAAACCGTGGGGTCTTGTTTCATTACGTGTTGATTTCTATCAACACGTAATGTTGTATCGATGTATATAGAGATGTACCACAGCAAAAGTATTCTCCGTCGGGACTTCCTGCAACAACACCACGCCGTTATCTTGATTCTGATTGGCCAGAAGACATTATCAAAGATGTTCTATTGAGAAGACGATCACTACGTGACAAAAGTTTTCAAAACCGTTTCTGGTCTTCGGTATTTCCAGACAAGTGGCTGCTGAAATCAATCTTACTAACTGCTGTCTGTGCAATTTACTCGGTGCGAGTTGGCGGACTTTATTTTGCTTACTTTAACATCATTTTTCATGGTGGGGCTAAGCCATTTCTTGGTATGGGTGTAGCCTACCCCAGCCATACCCTGGCGCAAATACCTCATTCCTTCTGTCTACTTGTATCCGAAATGCTTCTCGTTTTGCGCTGTCCTCCCGTTCAAATGAAATCGCCGCCAATCAGTTTTCAAGCTCGCGCCAGGGGGGGAGGGGTTACAAGGCTCGCGTCTTGTGCTGCATTCACTTGCACTCAGACATTAGAGATTTTCTCTCATAAATGTCCGATGAGCCACAACTTTTCTTTCAAAACAA